GGCTCAGGTCTCACTCTGGGAGGGTCACTGCCTGGGAGCCCCAGAGCCTAGGCTGACTGAGAATGCATAGGGTTGCAGCGGCAAAAAGGTGGGGTGGGGTGCTGTGCCGAGACTCACTGTTCTCAGTCTGTGTGAGACCCCTTTCTTGTTTGATTTTATTTCCCCCTTTATTCCTGATGCCTGGTTCAGTCCTGTCCCTTCCCATGTAATGTGATGGGTCATGCCTGGAAAGCGCGGAGGGATGCGGTGCAGCCATTCACGGCTCTACGTGCAGGTTTCTGGTGGTGGCGCTCCTGTTCCCCCAGAACCTTGAGTCCCTTCTGGAGCCCAGAGCAGGTCATAGATGTGTCCTGCTGTGCTTCTGTCCTGTCACTGTCACTGTCACTGTCATCATTTAGGTTTCTCCCGCACAGAGCTTGCTTTTCCTTCTGTGCTGGTTTTCTGTTGGTATTCTCGTCTTTTCCTTGCTTCTCTAGATTGCAGATCAGTGTCTCTCATCATGGTGACCTGTCTGTCACCTTATGCCAGCCATGTGCTATCCAACAGAAGCCTGTCACTTTGATGAGGTTGAAGCCAACTGTTGTTACCTTTTGCTTTGTGCTTCCAGGGCAAGAGGGAGTTTGTTTTTGGGTTTTGTTTTCATGATTTTTTCCCTACCCCCAGGCCCAAAGAAATTTTCCCACAGTTTTCTTCATTTATTGGCTCTGGGCTTGTGCATAGGTCTTGAATTGCCCTTGCGGTCTTTCCCTCATAGGTCTTTAATCGCCCTGTGCTTAGAACAAGAGGCAAGTATCCAGACTGACTGTTCTTCCTTCACTGAGTCCCTGTGATTGCGTTTGATACGGTCTTACGCTTCCCACTGCCATCTGGCCCCCTTTGTGGCCTCACTGCGAGACTACCAGAGGGGCCCTATCCTGTCCATGGGGGCTGGTGCCCACTCACAGACTTGGAGGGATGGGGCAGGAAGGTGAGTGCCCTTTCATTTCTCCTGCTTGGCGTGGGCCTTTATTTCTCCACTGGCTTCTAGAAATATTCATATTCTTGGGTCAGATGCCTCCAAAGCGGGGGGGGAAATAAAAGGCCGGCATTTTTATCGTACAGTATAGTTTAAGTAAGTTTGGGTGGATTGGCTTTTTACAGTGCTCAGTCTTCCCCCACAAACTTGGACCATTTCCCCCTTTATTTGGGTTTTTCCTTGAGCTTTTGACAGAAGGTAGTTTTCGCTTCTGAAGTCTCTTTGCTTGACTCACCCAGAACAACCTGTAGCCTTTGTTAATGTGCACTCTTTCACCCCTCACTGATTCTTCCAGTTTGTTGGGATTTTTCCGTACATGACCATATGGTCTGCAGAAGATGACCCTTTCATCCTTGTGTGTCCCCTCCCCTCTCCTTTCCGGTTTTTCCTCTTGGCTGATGGCCCTGGCAGTGGAGAGGGTGTTTTCCTTCCAGAATGCATGGGCCTTGTCGTAGCTGCGTTGCGGGTGAGTGGGAGTCGTTTTTAAGAGCGTCTGGAGTGCCATCCCTGCAGGGTTCATGGTGGCTGTGGTCAAAAGGCTTTTAAATTGCTCTCCAGGCAATTTGCGAAAAGGCTCGGTGGGGTCTTTGTACAGGCAGTGGAAGCGGAGTGGCCTGGGCTCCAGGACTACTCAGGAACCCCGCTGAGTTCCTTTCCCAGTGCCAAGGGCAGATGCCTACCCAGTACCGAGTGGGGTGGGGCCGGGAGCCTGGATGGGCCCTTTGAGCACCAGCACACGCCCTCATGTCCACCTGTGTCCTTTCTCCCCAGAACGTGCTGGCTAAGGCCCTCTATGACAACGTGGCTGAGTCCCCAGATGAGCTGTCTTTCCGCAAGGGCGACATCATGACAGTGCTGGAGCGGGACACACAGGGCCTGGATGGTTGGTGGCTCTGCTCGCTGCATGGGCGCCAAGGCATCGTGCCTGGGAACCGCCTCAAGATCCTGGTGGGCATGTATGACAAGAAGCCAGCAGGACCTGGCCCCGGCCCACCCACCCCCTCGAGCCAGCCTCCACCTGGCCTCCACACCCCGGCTGCCCAGTACACATCCATGCTGCCCACTGCCTACCCGCCCCAGCCCGACAGCGTCTACCTGGTGCCTACCCCCAGCAAGACTCCGCAAGGCCTCTACCAGGCCCCCGGGCCCAGCCCACAGTTCCAGTCTCCCCCGGCCAAGCAGGCATCCACGTTTTCCAAGCAGATGCCACATCACCCGTTTCCCAACTCATCCCCAGACCTTTACCAGGTGCCCCCAGGGCCTGGCAGCCCCGCCCAGGACATTTACCAGGTGCCACCTTCTGCTGGGATAGGGCACGACATCTACCAGGTCCCTCCATCCATGGATGCACGCAGCTGGGAGGGGACGAAGCCACCGGCAAAGGTAAGACTGCCCAGGCATGGCTGGGAAGCCCACTGTGGGTTTTACCCAGGCCCTGTTTTTTGGGTCCAGCAGGGCCCAGCCTAGCACCAGGTTCTCAGGGCTCCTGCAGTGGCTGTGTGCTTGGTCTGGGGCCAAGGTGAGAGGTGAGCATTTGGAGAAGGGGTCCGTCTGTCTGGAGAAGTGAAGAGCCGGAGCGCCCAGAGGGCAGGCGTATGTGCTGACTGTGGACAGCGACGCAGCCTTGGGGCAGAGATGCACTCTGGCAAACGTCCAGAGGTGTGGAAGAGTGTCTGCATGCCTGGTGGTCGGTGGGGCCTGCGGAGCAGCCTGGGGACAGCCCCCAGGGTCTGGTGTCCACAGGGACCTGGACGCTCTCCTAGGATGGAAGGATTTTAATAGGTGCGAGCGACCTGGTAAATTCTGTGCAAGGGTGGAGGTGCTGGGGGAGCACAAGATGTTTCTTTCTCACCCTGTGGCTTGTAGGGCCACCCGCCTCCATCCTCAGCTCTGGGGTCAAGTCTCATGGGCTCTGGCTCTCAGGAGGAAGAAGGGACAGGCAGAGGCCAGCGGCTTTGAGCTCAGGGGCTCCCCAGGTCCTCTGGGGGTGGGCCTGGAGCACAGCTCCTGGCCACCCCAACTCCACGGGTTCCCTGCCTTTCTCCACTCCAGGGCAAGGAAGTGACGCCTGCCTGTATGTCCCTCCAACTCACTGCTGGGGAAAGGAGGAAGGACTGGAGTGGAGGCCAGGCCCCACTTGCCGGCCCGAGTGAGGAGCACTGCCTGTCTCACCTTTGGCCTGTGTTTCCCCACCCCCAGGTCACTTCAAGAGTTGGGGAATTTTGTAGGCCCCAGAAATGAAGGAGGCATTCCAGGAACTTGGGAGACAGCACTGTCCTCCAGCTCTCCTGCATCCTGTGTGTCCGCTCGTTCCTCACAATGTACCCAGAGAGACCCAGGAAACCCAGCATAACAACTGTGCCCTCAGCACAGTGAGAGACACCAGTGAGCTCAGTAGCTGAGCTTTAGGAGAAGCCAGTGGCTCTTCTGTTATCAGCTCCCTGGGGAGCAGGCCCTGCCTAGTGTTGTTGTCACAGCTAGTCCAGGATTCCCTGGATCTGGGCTAGACCGCCAGCTGGGCATTGGGGCAGAGTGCGTTGTCACCCTGTTCAGCTCACTGGGCAGACGCTGGCACCCAGAAGACCCGGCCAGAGTTCATTGGTGGGACCTCAAGGACACTGTTCCTAGAGCCTGTCCACCAAGGCACCCTGGGTCACTGGGTTCCCCCTTTCATCCTACCTGCCCTTCAGCTGCATCGCCAGCGGCAGACTGGTGGCCATGCCAGATGGGAGAGCCCACACTGGGGCCACTCCCGAGATGGCTTGCAGGAGGAGCAGAGCCCTGCTAGGGGTGCATCTGTCCTGGGGGGAGGTGACCGGGACCAGTGCCTGGCTGCTGAGCCTCAGGACAGGCCATGGCCCATTCCTCCCGACACACAGACACACCGCATAAAGCCACGCACCGGAACTCACTTGTCAGTGTTACCAGTGAGTTACGTGAGGCACAGCTCACACTTTCACCCAGTCACAGACACACCCTCAGCATTTCTGCGTGTGCACACCTGGTGGTGCGCCTTTCTCCGTCCTCTCCTGTCCTGAGCCTGGGCAGCCAGGCCTGTCCTGGTGCGGCTGGAGCAGGCAGAGGCCGGGAGCAGCCTTGAGGCCTCAGACTGAGCCCGTGTTTTCACTGTGGGTTCTGCTTCCCTCAGTGCCTCGGCCTTGTTCTCAGACCGCTCTGAGTTCGCCTGGCCGGCAGGTGGAGCTGCCCCCCGCCTGCGTCCCCAAGAGCCCTGGAGTGGCGGCCAGGAAGGAGAGCCCTGTGTCCTGGGGTTTGGCTGTCGCCTCTCCGGCCCTGGGCAGGCTTGACGGCACATGTTTTTATCTTATGATCATGACAACATGCTGTTTGTTAGAGCAAATGCATAATGTATGGAGAGACCTAGAGATGAGACTCCCAATCAGGAAGGAATTGCTGGGAAATTTTTGCGTAATTTGTCTAGCATTTTCTCTGTTTATCTTTCAGATTTATATACATACTTTTGCTTTTTGTCATCCAACATTACTTACCAAAAGAACTTTCGTGGGTTAGTGACAGTTCTCCCTCAGCCCGAGGGACGGCTGCCCCATTTCTGCTGCATTGCCGCCGCCCTTGGGGTGGGCTCCAGGTGGCTTCTGATTGCTCGTTCTGATTACAGACAGCCTGGCATTGACCATCTTGGTGTGTGCATCTGTGCCCACATTTTGAGGTTGTGCTTTCCTAAGTCCCCTCCTCCCCTTTAGAAGTCTGGGAAACTGAGACTCCTGGTTCTAGGGGTAGAAGAGGCCCCGCTAGGGCTGGGGGAGGGGCAGTGATGAGGCAACTGTCCAGGAGGCATCAGCCATCTGTGCGGAGTGGCCTGCATCGCTGGGATAGCCGCCCCGGCCACACCCAGGCACCAGGACCCTTCTGGTGCGTTAAGAAGCTGCGGGCAGAGTAGGTGGGGCCTCCAGAGGGGTGGTGTTTTATGAGGTCACCTTAGAGGAGATGCCTCTGGGTCAGGGGCTGCAGCTGTGCCTGAGGGGACAACTGGCGCTTGCTCTGGCGCCAGAGGAGACACAGCTGAGCTAGGTCCTTCTTCTGAATTCCACCCCCACAAGGTGTCCAGGAAGCTTCATCTTCCTAGGCGCCTGGCCCTGGTGAGCCCAGGGGCTTGGGAGGGGACCTGTGTGCTTCACTCTCATGAGAGGTTGGATGGTCCCTGGAACCTGCCAAGAGCAGGACAGGAGTGCTGTCCCACAGCATCCTGCGTCACTCTGTTTCTCAGAGGAGGACATCGGGGCTGGGGATTGCCAGAGGCCCCCCTCCCACCTGTGGCCATGTCCCTTTTGGGTAAGTGGGAGGCCAGCGGGGGGGCTGCTTGGAGTCAGGCAGGTGTGGACAGAACGCTGGAGCCAGAACTGGGGAGTGGGAGGCCCCATCTGCCTTCTCATGGACCTTGGGAGCCTCTGTGCGATGACCCTGCCCTCCCCGGCACTGCGTGGGGCAGGTGGGCAGTGGGTGTTCGCGCTGCCCCGCCGCTCTGTGCCTGTGTCCCGCAGGCCCTGCTAATGGGGCCTCCGGTGTAGAGCAGCCCAGCAGCTCCCTGGAGAATTGTCTGGTGGCTGCATTTCTGGTTTTTTTCCTAACAAACAGTGACTCGCCAGTGTCACACTCGGCTGCAGGAGTGCAGGAACACCAAGCTGCCTTTCACCTGGCCTGAGCTCCAGCCCCAGGCCCCTCCTCCCGCGCTCCCCGCCCTCCTTTGCATGAAGGTCGTGGGCACTGTGTAGGCCAGTGCACACCCCTCTTCATTGGGTCCGTCCCCACCTTCCTGGAAGATTCCTCCAGAACCCTGGGCCTGGAGAAGCCTTGTGTCTGGTCTCCAGGCCTGGCCAACCTGCCACGTCCCCCCATACCCCCTCAGCCCCGCCTGTCCTGCTCTTGGCAGGTTCCAGTGTCTAAAAATAGCTCTGGAGGAGACTCAAGTCTGGGGCTGCATAGGGAGATGAGTCTGGAGAGGGCCGCCAACTCCACTCCCAGACACGCTGCGGGAGGGGGCGGGAGCACTGCTGGGGCCCTGCCGGCCCCTCTTGAGAATGCTTGTCAGCAGACCCCTCCTGCCAGGGCTGCCCCAAGAGGCCAGTGGTCACAAGTCAGTCTGCCACTCTGCCCCAGAAGGCAGACTGGATGCGTTAGCTGGAGGCTCTGCCAAGCTCTGGCTGGTCAGGAAAGTGCTGCTGGCATGCTGCTTTGGGGGATGGACTCTGTGTGCCAGCGCCGCACCCGCAGCGGCCTCTGTGGGTACAGAAGGAACAGAGCTGGCTGTGCTGCGCTTCGCGGGGGCTGGACCTGGTTCGGGGGGGCGGGTAGGGCGCCTGCATGGATGTGTGTGGGGAGGGTCTGAGTCACCCCTGTCCCAGATGTCCCCTTTGACTAGGGAACAAAGGCTTTTCTGTGGGAGAAGAGCTGAGCCTGGAGCCTGGTGGAGGAGGCCGGCCCTGAGCTAGTTCCTGCTGGCCCCGCCCCTCCCCAAGGACTTCCCCGCCACAGGACACACAGCCCCAGGACCGCCCCTCTGGGCCTGGACTGGCCTCCTGCAGGGTGTACGCCCTCTAGCAGGTCTCACTCCACTGCAGTGGAGTGAAGGCCGTGAGCCTCTTAGAGCACCCAGCAGACGCCAGCGCGGTCTCTGAGGGGTGGGGCAGCTCTGAGTCCTGGAGCCCTGGCCAGGGCAAAGAGAGGGGCAGGCTTTCTTTCTGGACGGAAGTCCCCTCACTAAGGCCTTATAATTTTGCAGGAATGGTGGTCTCAGAATCCCTGTGGGGGTAATACGGTGGGGAGCAGAGTCCTGGATTCTAGTCTTTCTGCTCCCATCTACCTACACTTAGCTTTCTTTACCAGTCCTTTTCCTCCAGCTGCCCCAGATGTGAGTTTTGAGAGTCCTTGTTCACTCTGTCCTCCGGAATCTTCCCAGAATGTGTCTGGGTGATGAGGAGGAAAGGGGTGTTACATGCTGCTGTGCCAGGCCACTCTCTCCTTAGAGGCCCTGGGTCCTGACTGAGGGGCGCTCCTGCATGCCACCTCCTATGTCTGGCCTGAAGCCAACAGAGCCAGGTTCTGGCACTTCGTTTGTCCTAGATCCTGATGGTGGCTGCTGGGTCCTGCACCCCCTTGCTGGGCAGGCCCTTCTGCAGAGTGGAGCTGGGAGGTGTCACCAGACGGTCCTCCAGCCAAGATGGCCGCTCTCCCTGCTTGTCTCCCTCTTCTGGAACCTTCCAGGTCATCCTGATAAAGAGACTGCTCTTGTTTCTTCATGAGAATAGCCTGCTCTGAACAGGCCCTGGAGAACTAGTTCCCTAGTGCTGCCTATCCTGGAGGGAGGAGCAGAGAACACAAAGGGATGAGGGCTGATGCCTCTGGCCCACCCAGGGGAGGCCCCCTTTGTGTTCCTCCCCCTTCTCACAGGTGGGGTCTTCCTGAGGCCTGAGGGTGGATCCTGGAGGCGGTTTCCAGAGCTGGTGGTGACAGACCTGTCGCTCGCAGGTGGTGGTGCCCACCCGTGTGGGGCAAGGCTATGTGTTTGAGGCCTCCCAGCCAGAGCAGGACGAGTATGACATCCCACGCCACCTGCTGGCCCCTGGGCCCCAGGACATCTACGACGTGCCCCCTGTTCGGGGGCTGCTTCCCAGCCAGTATGGCCAGGAGGTAGGTATTGGGGGGCTACCTGGGTGGTGGTGGGGCCCCTACCCCACCCTGGCTCAGGGACATGACCTTTCTTGGCCCTGGTCGAGTGGTTCGGGGTGGGTGTGGTGGGGTTTCTGTCTTTCCATCTTCAAGGTGGCCCTGGCACCTGTATCACTGCACCGTTCCTGCCTGCAGGTATACGACACACCCCCTATGGCTGTCAAGGGTCCCAACGGCCGGGATGCGTCACTGGATGTGTACGACGTGCCTCCCAGTGTGGAGAAGGGCCTGCCGCCGTCCGACCACCATGCGGTGAGCGGTCAGGAGTGCTGGGGCCTCAGGAGCTGACCTGTGTCCAGGTTCTGGGTGTGGCCGAGTTTGTGCGCCAGGGTGGGAGCACCAGTAGGCCTGACTCTGGACCCCAGCTCTGGCTCCACCCCCCACCCCCGCCTGATGTCAAACCCAGCTCTTTTAAGCCTCAGCTTCCTCATTGGTAAAAGGATCCTAATAGATTCACAGGATGTCAGCAAGGTGTTGCAGTTTGTCATCCCAAACACAACACTTCTGAAAGCAAAAGGGAGGGGAGCAACCAGTATTGATGGGTGTGTCACGCACACACCAGGACTGTCCTGGGCGAACCCGGACATCGCCCCAAATGTAGCATGAAGGTGGTTTGGCAGGTACCCGCCACAGAGCACACGTGCTGGTGCCGGAACTCCTCTCTCACTGAGTGCGGGTATTTATGCAGCTGGGCGAACTCACTGGTGGTCCTCACAGCCAACCTGTCCTGCGCGAGTTCTGCCTTACAGATGAGCAGACGGGGACAGAGAAGTCGAGTCACCTGCCTTAGGCCACAGCTAACAAGCATTAGAGCCAGAATTTTGTGGTCGGGTCATCTGGGTCCAGAGTCATCACGATAGCCTGCGTGGGTAAAGGGTGCGAGGGGTGTGCATACCAGGGTGTATGTGTCTGCGTGCGTGCGTTTCTGTCCCTGGGCTCCCTCCTGGTCGGGCAGATGGGCACTGCCTTACCTGTCCCTTGGCCCCCCAGGTGTACGACATTCCTCCATCGGTGAGCAAGGACGTGCCTGATGGCCCACTCATGCGTGAGGAGACATATGATGTGCCCCCAGCCTTCGCCAAAGTCAAGCCCTTTGACCCAACCCGCCACCCACTGGTCCTCGCTGCACCCCCTCCAGACTGCCCCCCGACTGAGGATGTGTATGACGTGCCTCCCCCTGCCCCTGACCTCTATGATGTGCCCCCCGGCCTGCGGCGGCCTGGCCCCAGCACCCTCTATGACGTGCCCCGGGACCGGGCTCTTCCTCCAGAGGTGGCTGATGGCGGCAGGGCAGACGACGGCGTGTACTCAGTGCCCCCCCCGGCTGAGCGGGAGGCCCCGGCTGATGCCAAGCGCCTGTCAGCCTCCAGCACAGGAAGCACACGCAGCAGCCAGTCGGCGTCCTCGCTGGAGGTGGCAGTACCAGGCCGGGAGCCCCTGGACATGGAGGTGGCCATGGAGGCCCTGTCACGGCTGCAGCAAGGTGTGAGTGCCACTGTTGCCCACCTCCTGGACCTGGTGGGCAGTGCCACCACAAGTGGGACCTGGCGCAGCAACACTGAGCCTCAGGAGCCCGCAGCCCAGGACCTGCGGACTGCTGTGGCTGCTGTCCAGGGGGCTCTCCATGAGCTGCTGGAGTTTGCCCGCAACGCCGTGGGCAGTGCTGCCCACACATCTGACCGTACACTGCATGCCAAGCTTAGCTGGCAGCTGCAGAAGATGGAAGAGGTACACCAGACTCTGGTGGCCCACGGTCAAGCTCTCGACAGTGGCCGGGGAGGCCCAGGGGCCACTCCAGAAGACCTGGACCGCCTGGTGGCCTGCTCACGGGCTGTGCCCGAGGATGCCAAGCAGCTGGCCTCTTTCTTGCATGGCAATGCTTCGTTGCTCTTCAGACGGACCAAGCCCTCTGTTCCTGGGCCAGAGGGGGGCGGCCCACTGCACCCCAACCCCACTGACAAGGCCAGCAGTATCCAGTCCCGGCCCCTGCCCTCGCCCCCCAAGTTCACCTCCCAGGACTCACCAGATGGGCAGTATGAGAACAGTGAGGGGGGCTGGATGGAGGATTACGACTACGTCCACTTGCAGGTGGGTGCCTGCCTTGCCAGATTTTGGGCCCCTCGGGCAGCCCTCAAACCCTCTCTGGGCCTGACTTTGCCACTGCATTGTGGGGACCCTGATCGCCTGCCACATGGGGGTCTCCTGTGCCTCAAGGAGGATTTGGACCCCACTGGGGTCCAGCTCTCCTCTCATGCTGATCTTCTGGGCCAGGTGGTGAAGTGCAGTCCTCCCTCTCCACAGGCCCTCTGCAGGTGGCTCTGTTCTGGTTGTGGAGATAGGGTCTGAACCACAAAGATGGTTTCAGACATGGGGGAAGAAAGGTGATGGGAGGGTGGAGTAGGGCCGGAACCACAGGTTGGGGCAGGGGCCGGTGGCCAGTTCCGGTACACTGAGGGGACGGGCGTGGATGTGTTTCCTGGCATGGGAACCTGGGCAGGGAGGATGACCTTGGCCACAGGAGTGTGCCCCGCCCCTTCTTGGGGTGGTAGGAGGCAAAAGAGGTGGGGAGAACAGCTTCCTGCCCCACCCATGTCTGCTCTGGCCTCACGGTGGCCTGGCGTGCGGCCTGCTGTGCCACCTGGTGGCTGCCCGCCCTGCACTGAACTGGGGCTTGGAGCACTGGCGCAGCCCGTCCTTGTGTCTGCCCTCCAGGGGAAGGAAGAGTTTGAGAAAACCCAGAAGGAGCTGCTGGAAAAGGGCAACATCACGCGGCAGGGGAAGGGCCAGCTGGAACTGCAGCAGGTGAGGATGCTCGGGCTGGCTGCGGGAGCCAGGCCTGTCTCAGAGCCAGCCCCAGGGCCCTTCTTGCCCTGCCTTGTGATATCTCCGTGTGTGCGTTGGGCCTGCGTGTAAACTGCGTCGGAGCAGTCGCAGAACACATTTATAGAGCACACACAGACCGGTGGAATAAAGCAGAAAAGAAAGCACAGCAGCGGCCCGAGAGCTGGGCGGCGCGGCTGCCGCTGGAGGCCTCCGGTGTGTGAGCCGGTGCCTGTGACGCTGCGAGGCCTTGGTCTCGAGCGCTGTGCCCTGGCCTTTAACAGTCTTCATGAGTTGTCTTTAAAGCCATATAATATCTTTGAATGTTTATGTTTTCCATATTTTATCCGATTATTTATTTATGCATGCAAGTACTGGGGTACAGGCCAGATGTGTGGGGGTGAGAGGATTCGCCAGAGACAGAGTGGGGAGCAGAGCAGGCAGATTGAGAGTACCCTGCTGAGGGGAGCAGCGGGCGAGACAGGAGAGGTCTGCCGCCATGTGGGTCAGCTCCCTGGCCGGGATGGAACTCGTGCCACAGTGGCGCCCCGTAGCTTGACAGCACTGAGACTTTAACCTCTGTGTCACTAGGGAGGGCCCTGCTTTCCGTATTTAAATAATACGTAGGACTATTTAAATGTAGTTTTGTTCATATTTTGGATCATTTCCTGAGAGTAGGAGTAGGCTATTTTTTAAAAAAGCAAGGGAGTTTTATTCTGATTATGAAAATAATTTAAAAATGAAAATTTAGACTAGCACAAAATACAGAAATAACACCCTGTAAAGTTTCTCTTGTCTGCAAATCTGTCAGCATGCAGTTCTCAAGGCTAGTTGGCAAAATTCTAGCAGTGGCTATTTCTGGATGCCTGGGATTCCAGGTGATGGTTATCTAATTTTCCTTTGGGGTATTTCAGTCTTTTTAAAGTGTACGTGTTAAGGAGAAGTTGTTTTTTTTTACTTTTCACTTTGAAATACTTATACACTCACAGAGGTTTCAGAGAGTACATCGAAGTCCAGGTTCCCTTCACCATCTTCCCCCCAGACTTCCATGCGCTGGGGAGTACCCCCAAACTGAGCCGACATCCTTAACCTTGCAGCTGCTCAGTTGTTCTCCATTTTGTCACCTCAGAAATGGTATGTGAATGGAATCTTCTTTTGTTCTCAGGCTCTAGGAGATGCGTAAGGGAATATGTCTGGTCCCACGTAGGGTAGAGATGGGGCCTTTTTCTAAAGGGGCCCCTCTTTCCTTTAACTCTGTGGTTATGGTGTTTACTTTGCTTTTCCTCTGCCTCAGCTGAAGCAGTTTGAGCGGCTAGAGCAGGAAGTGTCACGGCCCATAGACCACGACCTGGCCAACTGGACGCAGGCCCAGCCGCTGGCCCCCGGGCGGACAGGAGGGCTGGGGCCCTCTGACCGACAGCTGCTGCTCTTCTACCTGGAGCAGTGCGAGGCCAACCTGACCACGCTGACCAATGCGGTGGAGGCCTTCTTCACCGCTGTGTCCACCAATCAGCCGCCCAAGATCTTTGTGGCTCACAGCAAGTTCGTCATCCTTAGTGCCCACAAGCTGGTGTTCATCGGGGACACGCTGTCGCGGCAAGCCAAGGCAGCCGACGTGCGTAACCAGGTGACCCACTACAGCAACCTGCTCTGTGACCTCCTGCGGGGCATCGTGGCCACCACCAAGGCTGCCGCCCTGCAGTACCCCTCGGCCACCGCCGCCCAGGACATGATGGACAGGGTCAAGGAGCTGGGCCACAGCACCCAGCAGTTCCGCCGAGTCTTGGGCCAGCTGGCAGCTGCCTGAGTGCAGACGACCAGAGGGACGGAGGGCGGTGACGGGCCGAGCTGTCCCAGAAAGGCACTATGGATGCGGGCACAGGACAGCAGCTCCGCCCGGCGCAGTGCCCCAGCCTGAGCAGGATTTGTGTATATTTATGATGGGTCGGGAAGCAGGGCTGGGTCCTGGGAGCGGAGGCCGGGGCGGGCTGGCGGCCCGCCCTCAGTGGGCTGGAAGGGTCCCAACACGGGGCCGGGTCAAGGGTGCCCAGGTGCCTTGACCGAGGGCTCACTCCTGAGGGTGCTGTGTCCCCCAGCAGGCACGTGCCGCAGCGGTGTGTTCCTTCTCTGCACCAGGAGAGAACTCTAAAGAACTATTTTTCATTATTGATTTTCCAATCACTTGACTAATAGTCTACATTTAAATAAAATTTGAAAACTGACAAGCAGTCTCGTGAGGTGTGATGGGCAGGAGGACCCATCTTGGGAAGCCAGCTGCATCCTCGCAGGCATGATAGATGGAGGTTGGGCTTAGGAGGGAGAGAGCTGTCCCCCATACCCTTCCGCCAAGTCCGCCTCGCCTGACCCCGCAGTGGGCAGCGATGACCACTCAGTACGAACAGGAGGACCCCCGCAGAAGCAGGGGCTGGAGCGGGTCCGGGCAGAGGTGTGGAATGGGCAGCCTCGCCTCTGCTGCCTGGGCCTTCTGGTCTGGCCAGCACTCCTCGGACTCCCCCCACTGGCAGGGACACATGCAGGGCCGGAGGCCCAGGACGACAGCTTCCCATTGGCGCCCCTGGACAGACTGCTCAGCTTGGGGTAGGTGGCAGAGACCTGCAGCCTGGGACACGGTGGCTGGGGTACGGGACAGGGCATCCATAAGTGGACGTCCTGGGGGACAGAGTGGCAAGCTGGCACCTCCAGGCCTTGTTCCCTGGCATGAGCACTCTGGCTGTTACACCATCATCTGGTTCAGTAGCACCCTCAGGTCCCCTTGGAAAGAGCCTGAGACTGGGTAGCTGGTTCTAGGGGGGCCCTATATAGATAGCTCCCAAAACTTCTTGTGTTTCCAACGGGAAGCGTCCATCTTCTGGGCCGTCTGAGTTTGCAGCAGGGGCAGGGGTGCCAGGAGGCTGCCTGAGGGACCCTCCGGAGGCCGGAGGGACCCTGGCCTCCCATTCTCAACCCTTGCTTCTGCATGGGCAGTGGAGATGCCAAGACGGGGCATGTGAGGTGCCTGAGGGACTGATTGGTGGTGTGGGAGGAGGGGGGCGCGGGGAGCCTGGCAGACGTATTCAGGGTGGCCCAGCGGGGGCAGCTGTGGGCTGGGGACAGGTTTGAGAAAGAAGGGAATTTGGCCCTATGTGGTACCATTGGTTGAGGGGACTCAGAGGAAGGCGGCTTTGGTCCCTGTGTGCCTCGCTTCCAGGGGCAGGCGGGTGAGGCTTCCTTCGCTCGGGCTGCTCTAGCCTCACGTTCACGAAAGCGCCCATCCTGCAGACTGCCAAAGAGGAGCAAGTGCAAGACCACCCGCAGAAACACCCAGTGAGGTTCAGAAGGTGGGGTGGGGTCTGCCCTGGGGGCCCCATTTAATTCACCGTGCCTGCCAGTCATTGCCTGCCTTGCCACCCCTGCCCTGTCAGAGTGCTTGGACTGAGAAGGCCCTGGCGCCAGCGTGACCTGGGGAGATGGGAAGCCTCCCCGGGGCCACAGGAGTATGTACCCCACAGCTTAGGGGGTAGGGAATTGGCCAAGTTGACTGTACCCCAGGTGTCGGCCTCCCTTTTTTGCACCCATACTTCATCTGCCTGTGGCCTTCCTGGCCACTCCCTGGGGAGGGAGAATGAGGAGGTCCCTCAGAGACTGCCCTGCCCCACTGCTCAGCCCACTGAAGACCCAGTCCCCGAGTGGAATGAGGCCCTGGAGGCCCTGACATAGGCAAGTACACCGTTGGCATGTCTTCAACCTGTTTATTGAAGCTTTAGGGAAATAAGGTCAGCGGGAAGGCTGGGGGTGCTCTGGGATCAGTTGGCAGCCAGGATGCCCCGCACCCAGGGCATGAGCTCGGTGACGCGGGCGTACACGCCGGGGCTGGAGGTGGAGCAGGTGCCGCTGCCCCAGGACACGATGCCCACCAGGGTCCAGGCTCCGTCCTTCTGGCACACCAGGGGGCCGCCAGAGTCGCCCTGCGGGAGAGGGAAAAAAGAGGGCTTGGATCTGGCGGCTCAGGTGGCCCGGGATGTCACCCCAGAGCCCAGTCGAGGGCTTGACAGCCTCCAGTGGTAGCTCAGCACAAGAATATTGGGGGCGTTAGAGGAAAGGAGCAGCCGCTATTGTGGTCGGTGCCCTGAAAATCTGGGTCGCCCCTGAAGTGGGGGCCTGTGGTAAACGCTTCGTAAAGCTAGTCTGATAAGTAGGAGGAAGGCATGGTGGGAACTGAAGGAGCCTCTGGGCCCGTCTGGAGCTCCATGCCCGCTTGCAGGCTGAGCACGATACAATTCCAGGAGCCTTTTGCTCAAATGGTGTTAACAGTGAAATTTTGCCATCTGGGAACTCCGAGGTCAGAGTCCCTCATTCTGGCAGCCGCCTGCGGAGGACGTGGGTGACCTACCCAGATCCTCCTGGCTGCTGTGGCAGGGTTTCCTAAGGAGAGGGGCAGACAGCCAGCCGAGACCCCGGCCTGGGCTTCTGCCTGAGCCCACCCCTGGCTAAGAGGGAACGGCCACCAGCAGAGCCCAGGCGCCGTACCATGCAGGAGGAGACACCGCTGGCCCCGGCGCAGACCATGAGGTCGGTGATCTTGTTGCCCCAGAACTTCTTGCACTCAGCGTTGGACAGGAGGGGCAGGGTGGCCTGCTGCAGCTTCTCGGGGGTGTTGGCATCTGGAAGGGCAGATGGGCGGTCAGCAGCCACAGCTCCACCTACCTGGCACCCCTGTCACATACCCACCGCCCTGCCCCTGCGCATGCAGGCACTCACTGGTGTGCTTGGTCAGGCCCCAGCCGGTGGTGGCGCACAGGGAGCCGGCGGGGAAGTCGTCGGCCTCGTTGGGCAGACACACGGCAGACACGGTCTCGGAGAAGCGGGCGGGGGTGGCCAGCTTCAGCAGGGTGATGTCGTTGTTGATGGTGAACATGCTAAACTTGGGGTTCTTGAAAACCTGTGAGGGAGGGTTGGACAGTACAGCTGGGGTGTGGGAGGCAGCTGGCATGGGGCAGGACCAAGACTTGGGCTTGCCCTGGCTGCCTCCTTGGCCAGTGGCTGCTCAGCTCGAAGCTCTTTCTGACTGTAGGAGCTGAGGCCCAAAACCTGAGGTAGCCCTTCCCCTGTCTGGAACCTTGAACACCCCACTTTCTGCTTTGCCTCATGATGCATGCTGGGGAACGGATGGGGTCCCCAGGCCTCTTGGGCCATGCATCTCCCCAGGACCTTGCGGGGGACCATACCTAGATCCCGGGGCCATCGTACCTGGGCAATCTGCAGCACCTGGATGTTCTCAGCATTTGAGCCCTGGTCAAACTCTCCGGCCACCACGCGGTGGGAGGTTCTAGAGGCCAGAAAAGGACAGGTTCCTGCTGTGAGGTGGGGATGGGGCCAGCTGGGGCTCAGGCTGCGCTGGGGTGCCTGAGTGTGTGCAGGTGTGCGTATGGCCGTGAGGGCGGGGCCCTCCCGCCACAGCTGGGTCTACTGCCTGCTGAGCATTTCCTTCCCATCACCCCGAAGAGAGGCGGGACGGCATTTTGTACACCTTTCCAAATAAAACTGCAGAACAAGGTGTTAAAGGACAAGCCCTCAGTGTTGAATGTCTCTCCCTTCCCCAAGGGGTTCCCTAGACCTCACCTGACCCCACAGTGGGCGGCGGTGACCACCCAGTCCTCGCTGATCAGGGAGCCCCCGCAGAAGTGGAAGCCGGTGCTGTCCTGGAGGAGGACGGAGGGTCAGCCTGGCCAGGTGCCGGCCACTCCCACCTGGCCGGGCAGCAGCCCCTGCCCAGCCGGCCTGCACCCCGCGAGGCCCCAGTCAGGCTCAGGTGCGCCCTTACCTGCAGGGACACCTGCCAGGGCCAGGAGCCAGGGACGGCGTCCTCGCCATTGACGATCCTGGACAGGCCGCTGAGCACGGGGTGGATGGCGGGGACCCCGCACCCTGGAGCAAATGAGTGACAGGCTCAGGACCAGTCTCCAGGAAACCTGCTTTCTGCCTCCGCTGGCAGCTCGCCACTGCCGCCCTCCTCCTGCCCGGGACACTTTCTCGCACCCTAACCTGGAGGCTGGAGGACCCCAGCCCCGCCTGCTGCCCGTCACCTTCCCAGGGACGCAGAGGGCCAGGCGGCTCCACCGGGTGCCCCTGCCCAGAGCAGCAGACACAGCTGGGAATCGGGGCCGCACGCTCCCTGACAGGTGCGGGACACGTTTGCGGGGTCAGGGGTCAGGATCCTCAGCAGCTCCCGGGGTGGCAACTGGGGACAGCTCCGCGGAGTTTATGAACACATAGTGGACGTGGAGAACTGGCCCAGGAGTGACAGACCCGAGGTCAGAGTACTTCCAAGGAAATTAGGAAGGAAAAGGGGGACGACTGGAGCCCCCTGGTGTTTCCCCTGGCTAAGAGGGAACGGCCACCAGCAAGCGGGGGAGGCCGTACCATGCAGGAGGACACGCCGCTGGCCCCGGCGCAGACCATCACGTCGGTGATCTTGTTACCCCAGAACTTCTTGCAGTCAGCGTTGGACAGGAGGGGCAGGGTGGCCTGCTGCAGCTTCTCGGGGGTCTTGATGGCTGCAGGCACAGAGGAGCCCGGGGCCTCAGCGCCACTCATGCTCCAGCCTCCCTGAGCGCAGGGGGCACAGCCCCCAGCCTGCCTCCCTGCTGCTCCCCCTGCCCCGCGCCCCGGGGTGCTGCACTTAGCGCAGCCCCGCAGCCCTCAGACCCCAGCGGAAAGTCACCTCTGGCTCTGCCCCAGGCCCCGCTGACTTTGCCCCAAGCACAGGTGTTGCCACAGCCAGCCTGGGGTGGGCTGGGCCCCGCCGCCGCCCGGGTCTGGGAGCTCAGGGGCAGCAGCTTGTCCACCAGGGAGGGGGACGGACATACTCTCACTGGGGGTGACAGAGAGCCCCTTCCTCACTGCCCCTTCCTGGGGGCTGCTGTCCTGGGAAGGGCCAGCGGCTAGCCCTGGCCTGGGCAGAAGGACTCAGGACCCGGAGGAGACGGTCAGGCAGGGCCGCCCCGGGAGGGACACCCCGCTGGACACTCGGGCCCCGAACCCACGCTGGGCACGCGAGCCCCAGCCACTCCGGATGGTGGCTGCCCCCACTCAGGCCTGGGGCACATCCCCTCGGCGGGGCGTGGGCAGCCTGCAGGGCCGGCGGGCCTAGGGCCCCTCGGATCAGAGCTGTGTCCCCAGAAGCTCACACACCCCCGCCACCGCCGGCCCTGTATTCGCCCGCGGCGAGGTTTTCATGAGCGGGCTGCGTCCAGGAGCCCGCACCTCCGCGCCTCCCGCGCTGCTGAACCTGGGCCACGCCCAGCGCAGAGCCCGCCCACAGCGCCCGCTGCCGCAGCCACGCTCACGCTCACGCTCACGCTCACGCTCACGCTCACGTCACGCTCACGCTCACGCTCACGCTCACGCTCACGCTCACGCTCACGCTCACCGTTGTACTTGGTCTTGCCCCAGCCGGTGGTGGCGCACAGGGAGCCGGCGGGGAAGTCGTCGGCCTCGCTGGGCAGACACACGGCGGACACGGTCTCGGAGAAGCGGGCGGGGGTGGCCAGCTTCAGCAGGGTGATGTCGTTGCGCACGGTCAGCATGTTGAACTTGGGGTTCTTGAAAACCTGTGGGGACGCCAGGCTCAGGCGGTGCGCAGGGGGCGGCAGAAGCTGCAGGTTTCCAGGGAACGGAAGCCTCCCGGGGCGACTGGGCAGAGACGGGCCAGGCCAGAAGCGTGCTGAGGCCCCAGTGCCGGACTCTGGCGTCTCCACGTGCGGAACCCCTTCCCCCACCCCCTCCTGCCTCGGTTCCTCCCCAAGCCCCCAGGCTGGCC